CAAAAGGAATTCAACATTTAAATTGTGGACAGATCAAATACAAACAAACTGGCAAAAGTCAGATTAAATTTCAAGCATATCGGTTTATCATGAGCCATCTCTAAATTAAACGGGAACCCCATAATTCTTTGCCTGTACAACCTGTTGTGGATGTGAAATACTGTTTGCCATACGAAACACGAGGTATGTTAAGTCTTCCAAGATTAGGTCCTTACGCATAACCGACGTCTTCAATTTTTTCTACAACTCAACAGTTAGGGTTACACAAAAAAGTCTCTAACCACTGAGTTCTGGACTTTTGGAAACTTAGTGGGAACCAAAGCATATGTGATCTACGCAGAACGACGAGCTAGAATTCAACTGTTTGGGGAGTATACATTGCAAGCCATGTACTTAAATCAGCTCTTTTTAGGTTAACTGATAATCTTCACTCCTTCTTCATGTAACTCTGCGAACGTGATTATATGCTGGAGTAACTGACACAGGAGCGATCTGCTAAACTTGTACACATAGGCATTCGAGAAACAAACCAACACTAGTTACACAGTGCAAGCATACTTAGCAAACAGGATGCGGGTCAACGACGATATATTCGTAGACTGATAATTAGTCCTTTAATACGCATCAAAACATATAAATACCTGCCTTAAGAGGATTTTTAACTTATTTCTATAACACACAAACTAGTATGAACTCTACTTCATTGAAAGTTAGTGCCGAAATACTTTAAGATTCTAGTTATTAATGACATTAAAAAGACCAAGACGAAAAATAATGAAAACCCCCACCTTTTGTTTGCTTTTGCAGCATTTCCTGACAATTCATTCACTTCAGCTACTAAGTATTCAATAACAGCAGACATATACACTGATGCAGCGATGGACGTTCGCCGAGCATATCGACCTTTCTTCATATAACGATGAACTCTACTGACGGAAATCACTAAGCCAGCCCTATTGGATTTTGTGTGTTTCTTGCCGCCAGCTGCCTTTCTTGCCTTGCCTCTTCCTGACATAGTTTCTAATCCGGGTTGACCTCAAAAAACAGTCCTAGAGCGCGGTACACCTAAGAGGTCAATAACTTAAACAAAGTGTAGATGTAGATTTTCGAAGGTCTTCCAATTTAATAATTTCAGAACAGAAGGCCACTGTTGACTATTTTCAGGTAACCTTCTGCACATCCCCATTATTTTATTGGGTCAGTCAACTGAAGTGGCATGCAGCACTTCTTCCCTGTTGAATACTCAGTAGAAAAAACTACATTCCAGGAGCATTCTGTTATTTCTTAGCCTTTGACTTCGTCTTCCTTATACTATGAGTTTTATTTATCCTGATGGAACAAAGGGACGAAATATCAACCCTAAAGTCTTTTCGTACTGTCCCATGTATCACAATCAAATCACTTTTAAATATGCGATAAACTAAGTTTCGGTCCCAGTTTGTGAAGGACAGGAGCCTAGGTGGCCTGTGTTAGTCCTAAAAATAGTGTTCTTTCATCTGATCCAGCTTTATTTTGAAAGCGTCTACAGATGGAGCTTCAATCACATGTTGAGTTTATATATTTCATTCGTTGATGATTCAATGAGAAAGTCGATGGTCAGCTGACAGATAGTTTGTTCTAGACTTGTGAACATTTTTAGTCTCCTCGTAAATTCTTTGTTTCAGAGTACGAGAAAAGTGAGGGCATATCAGATGCAAACTGATCACTAAGTAATTTAAAATATGTGATCGAGCCGCCTGTGGTTCTTTTACATGACGATGTTAATAGGTTTGGTTTAGCCACCCGAGCATCATATAGGAGGTTTGTTATTCTGGGATCGGCTTATATGTGGTTTCTGAAGCTTTTCTGGAAGTTCATTGTCTCTTTTTGGGCAGAGGTTAGTCGCTTGTATGCACTACACAAGTTTAGGACGAAAGAAACCTGTATACATAGTCAAAAATGTCTTAGCATCGACATGGCCAAAGACCTAAAAGTGCCACAACCATTCGTAGTTTGATAATGCCTTAACCAGTAACAACTTTCCTAACCAAATGACGCAAACCCAGTCAAATCAATCAGAAGCGAAGTGGTTCGAAGATATATATGATAGTCTATCAATATATCGAGAAATGATTAATGTAAGTTGGCTAGCAGTTGTAGATGTAGAGCGCGACGTACTCACTCGTGATCTGGTGCAGATGAGCAACCGAGCACCTTCAGCTTTTAAAACTAATGAGGTCAGCATCAAATGTCCAAGACTTACAGAGCTATTTATTTCGAGGATTTGTTTACCGCCACAGGCCCTATATATTTGCCATAAGATTCTAAAACCGTTAGTGGCTATCACACGGAAGTGTGCAGTGGTTTTTAAGTTTTGACTAACGATTACTCTCAAGTCATTGCGTACCTGGAAAACAGGTAGCTTAGTGTTATTCATCATGTATGTATCTGTACCCCAATGATTAATACGCATCGCAATGAATTTGGAAGCATTTATCTGCAACTGAGAAGTTTTAGACCAGTCAGATAATCTCTTCAGGCCATTTTTAAGCCATAAACAGTGATCTTTATTTCTTATCGCTCTCCATATCTTGACGTCGTCAGCAAATAACACAACCTATGTTTATAGGAGATCTGGATGGCCATTTACACACAGGAGGAACAACATTGGCCCCAGAACTGTGCCCTGAGGTACTCGAGTAAACACAGTTTCCCAGCTAGTCAACTTCGAGTTCACCAGTACTCCTTATTGGAGCCCAACCAGGAAGTCTTTTATCCACATTGATAAATTGCCCCCAACCCCGATATTACCTAACTTACATAAAAGCCAATTGTGAGTATCCTTGTCAAAGGCTTTGCTGAAGTCAATGCAGGCTGCGTCTGTGGATAACATTTTATAATTAAGGGCGCACCTACTTTCATGGGCTACCACCAACTCAGTGAGACAGGAATATCCTGTTCTGAAGCCATGTTGCTTTTCAGGAAGAACCCGGTTTTCATCGAGGTACTTGGACAACTCCTTCGAGATAATCTCTTCTAAAATTTTAACAACCTAGTTCGTTAGACTTACGAGTCAATAGTTCTCGGGTTTATGTTTCGTACTTATTCTGAAGACAGGAATTACTATGGCGTTCCTCTAGTCTTTTGGTAATCGACCATGGGTTACAGATAGATTAGAATATATTCTTGAGGGATTCACGACGAAACTCGCTAGTTCACTTGATAACCTAGGATACATTTCATCGGGTCCCATGGATTGGCTTTTATTAAGGTCGTTCAGCAGACCGAATACATGGACTTCTTTAATGGTCATAGTGTGCAGTGTGTATGTATATGTGTGGAGTTGTCTTGTATGAACTGAAGGGACCGGTGCTTCTACGGTATACAGATTTCTAAATTAGTTCGAGAATACCTGAGGTTTTCCGTAGTCGCCCTCCACCAATGCTAAAACACTACTATCTCCCCATAATGCTGGAATATATTCTCTTCTCTCAGTTCTTTGGTTTATTTACGAATATAAGCGTTTTGGGCATTTTTTAAATTCCTTAATAAGTTTTTCTTCAAACAGCCTTCTAAACTTGTGAAGGGTTGAGGCACAAATATTTCGACCTTTTCGATATTGAGATTTCATTCCCCTCAGAAACCAGTAACCTAAACCTCTCCCACATTCTTCTCCTCTTACGAAGAGGGGAGCGAAACACTTTATTGGGCCATTGTGGGTAGTTTCAGGACCCTTTGGTGTAGTCTCATGGATGTGGATGGACTATTTTGCTCTTTGAAGTGTTAAAGGTAATTCCGTCTGCTCAATTTTGAAGTCGAGTGAGAACTTCCTGAAGTGCCAAATTATCCTCTTAGTTCCAAACTTCTCCCTGGAATCTCATATTATCAGCGAAGAACACTAAACCCGATGATGCCTGTTTCGGAAAATCGCTTACATAAACGGCTTATGTTTGGAAATTTGAACCCGTAGTTGATCCCATAATTTGCTAGGTCAAGCATTTGGCTTTCGTTAGAAGAACTAATAAACTCTCCCGGCCCTCTTAATGTTGCTTAAAAGGCTTTTTCTGCTGCCAAAATATGTGAATTATGTTTGACAGCTGTTCTTATTCCTAACATAACGGCAGGAATTCTGTCCATAAAGTGGGGTCTGACCGTGGTATTAGAGCGGCTTTTAGCTGATGGCACAAGCGTTTACCAGCCTATTAGCCTGAAGATGATACGTTGTGCAATGTATTTTATGAGCTCATAGAAATTTTGATAAGTTGTTGAATAGCTCAAATTCAAACTAGACCCCTTCGTCAGTAATTGTTGTGAAAGACGTCAAAGAGTGGCGACCCATTTCTGAATGAAATCTCTGGCCACTTTTGGGCTGTGATATAAATTGTTGGTGCGGCCGGCTGGAACCTTGTGAACTTAACTGTCCATCTAAACGAATACATAGGTAAATGAATCAATAAAACCACTAGAATAAGTTCCATGAGATTTAGAATTTACCGGAAATATTTAACAGTTGGGCAAATTAGGAGGAGCTTTCGTTCGAAACCTGTATTTCTGAGAAGAATACAATTGGTTACCATGTGCTTCTAACCATCCGCTTTAGGCGTCCTCTTCTTCCTTGTCTGAAGATTCTACCATTAGGCAGAGAGGAATTGGGATCTAGAAGCTCCAACATACATACTTGGGTTAGCTTGTTCTTTAGATCATTCACAGCCTTAGTAGCCCCATAAATCAGCTTAAAACCTTTTGCTTTAAGTCTACTGGAATCTGTCAACAGATACACTTTTTATGCACAACTGAGTATCAGTCGTCGATGAAATTTAGCTAGACCCGGAAACTTTCTAGGTTGTGTTAAATAACTTGGTATAGGATTTTATTCAATAGCCTCTGCCTTCTGGGACTTTATACATTCAGGAAGTCTCAGAGTTTGAACTCCGAAAACACCTATGTTGGTGTGCTTCTTTCATTTTTACCTGATTACTTTAATCCGACTCACATGTTATTCATGTGATTTCAAATCAAGACCGATATTGATTATTGGATGATAAATGACCTTAGGGAGACCTATTATCCAAAGCTGTGCAGTACTGTCTGCAAATGACCTATAGAGTTTCAGGACTGTTGCAGAGGAGCGGCAAAATATTAAAAGGATGTTATTACGGCACCTTGAAGCTTGCAGTAGATGGCAGTATAAAGCGTGCCAAACCACCTAATTATGATTTCTTTAGCTCTGGAAATAATTACCTAAGATTCCTATTTGATAATACTAAAACTATGGATCGATTTAACGATAATTCAAAAGTAATAGTGGTCGAAGGTAATATTGCCTCCGGAAAATCTAACGTCGCTGCTAAGTTGGCTAAATATCTTGATATGGAGTATTTTCCTGACCCAACTGAAGACGACATATATGTTTATAGAAATGTGGAGCCAAATTTTGATATTCGCTGTCACAACTTTTTGCTTCCTGATTATGCAAAATACTATACATGTGAAATGTTTTGGAATGAACCGGATCTCATAAATAAAGGAAAAGGACTATATCTTCAATACCATTTCTACTTAAGACGTTATTGGAATTACTTAAGGGCATTATGTCATTTATTTAATACAGGTACACTTCAAATATGTACTATCCTCTTCCTCAGGTCAAGGCGTTGTGATTGACCGAAGTCCGTTTTCAGAGTTTATATTCGCTGAAGCCATGCATAAGTGCAATTATTTGTCAGAACGGGGTAAATTTTTGTTGATATCTTTTTAAAACCGTAGGATTATTATGGTTCAAACAAAATCACACGATGACTATAAACAACCTCTGGAAACCGCATCTACTAGTGTACATCAAGGCTCCTATTAAGCAAATACGTGAAAAAATAAAGAAACGTAATATCGTAAGTTTGTGTTACTATCTTTTTTCTTACTCCCTCGCACCTCTTAGTTCAGTATATGATGTGACAGAAATTCTTATAACACGATGTTTATCAATTAACATGTTTCAACAGGCAGTAGCTTTTACCTTTGGTTATCGGCATACAGATTTAGTTGTCGCAACACTTAGTAACCATAGCTAACTGTTAGGAATGGTGAAAAACGTAACACAACTCAGTCAGCTACAACGTAAGAGCATACATATACGTCGATCCAAGTTGCCTTACATCATTAGCACAACAAGATGAACACCGGATTTATAAAAGTAGTTAATTCAATTATGGTAATGTATAAAAGAAAGATTGCATATAGAGATATAGTACAGGAAAAAAGAATTAGTTCGTAGAAAGAAAAATATAAGCGATTTTAATCTCATAGTTTAAGGGAAGAAAAAGAGTGTATACACCTACACCGTTGTGATCGATTCTGAGTCATGTCACCCAGTCTCCAACCATTACTTATGATAGTCACGTGGACCCCAACCAAGTAGTCTGCATCTACCAACATGGCTCAGACTACAAGTTAGTGACTTCAAGCATTGATGCCACGTTTTGGTTTGGCCGCCCCTAACTTTCTTCCAACCATCCCGAACACCGGTTAGCATTGCACGTCGTGGTAATCAGTGTTCAGGCATACGTAATACGTTGCCCAACCATCTCGGTCGATGAAGATTCACAGCCTCATCAACTGGTTTAACATCATTCCCTAACACCCTGTGTTTGACCTCACTATTACTTACCCAGTGATCCCAGCAAGTGCGAGCTATATTTCTACTACAGTTACTTATACTTTTGTGATATTACGCTTCACATCTAAATGATATGCGCAAATCTAGGCGAGTTAAGAGTCCTTAAGGTTATTAGCACCAAAAGTAGTTTCCTTCCTCTGACTAGGCCTCTTTCTAGGTTTACAGCCTTAACGTTTAAAACGTTTAGCATTGAGATTGTATGTGGAAGTTCTAAAAACCGATTGCTAGTCAGCCAGCCATAAAATGTGTATTAGAAAATTTAACTAAGAAGTTTAAAAAAACTCGAGACGTAAGTTTGATTTACGATTAAAGATACACGGGACTACCAAAAAATCACAAACTTTCTTTGATGCTGGAAATTAATACTTTGTTGAAACTAGCCATCACTTGTCTTTGTATGACATTCACCAAACACTAGCTGTAATTCAGAAGTCCTTCTAAGTTTACTTTATCCGGCTGATTGCTTATTAGATCTTATCAGAAAATAACTACCGAAATCCCTATATGAAGGTAATGTAAATGACAGAACTTTAATGCAAGTGTTTGTATTGGAACGAGTGATATTATCCAGCTACTGTAATCAAAATAAATGAAAAGGGATTCGAATTTATGACCTGTTGAGATCCCAGTGCTTTAATCGTCATATACTCGCCACGCTTCTCAAATCTCTTAGTATGTAGAAGCATATTCACATTTTGGACTTCCTAACAGATATCTTAAATCTGTATTCCATGTTCCCCATTTTGATATGAATGAATAAGATGTAACCCAAAATTTTGGGACTATCGTACTCAGTTCACTTATTTATATTTTCTTGAATCGTATCTTTGATGCCTGATCTTTCCCGACCGTTGTTGCTACCTTGACGTGGTGGTCGGGCTTGCCTATCGTGATGAAGCAACCGAGCTATATTGGCTGGAACAACCGTTCCTCAAGGTCCTACCATGTCAGACAGGTCGATTGAAGAGTGGTAAGACTAAAAGCAACAAACCCAAGGTCCGAAGGCGAAGTCGTACTGCTGACTGTAGAGAGGTGTGACAGCAGTAAGGTGTTTCCCTCGGACAACCAGCATGACAGCGATGCTGCCTTCCCACAAGGAGGGGTGGGGTTAGGAAAGGTCGACCCTAAAAATGTCACACCTCACCTTACCTCACGGATTTCTGCTTTCGGTAGTAAGGCCCTTTGAAGAACGGAGCTAACACGTCAAAAACCTCCCACGAAAAGGCCGTGCACGACCGGCCTCAAGCAGTTGTCCCTTGGGCACTGCGGTCACGCTCTCAGGTCACTGAGACCGCCTCTAATCCAATTTCCTTTTCAGGTACCTTCAGAAGAACCCTTCCACGGTGTGGGCAACCGGGAAGTGATAACCGCCCTCATACCTCTAACAGCACCCAAGACCACTGTATTCATAATCAACCTTCCTCTTCAATTCCTATTATTCCTCCTACATCGACTTTCAACCCTAAACTTCCTCCTTCGGCTTCCTCCTCAAGTGTCACCATAGCCAACGATTCTAGTGCTCAAAACTCTGTCCCAGGTCTACTGAAACCTCGTTCCAAACTACACATTGTAGCTTTCAACGTACGCACTCTATGTCAAATCAGTCAGCAGGCTTCCTTGGCTAAAACCCTAGAGTCTCTTTCCATTGATGTTTGCTGTGTCTCCGAAACACGCATACAGGATTCCAGTGTGGTCATTCACTTGACCTCACCTCGGCAAAACGGAGAGCCAACGAGATACACCCTATGTGTATCTGGTGACCCGATGGCCAGTTCTCGTGGACTGGCAGGTGTAAGCATAGCACTAAGCATGAGGGCCGAACAAGCACTGCTAGAGTGGATCCCCGTCAACAGTCGTCTATGTGCTGTTCGGCTAAACGGCTCCGTAAAAACTCGGAAGGATAGGGACACACGTCGTTGCCTTTTCGTCGTTTCTGCCTACGCTCCCACTGACTGCAGCTCAGATGATGTGAAAGATGAATTTTACAGAAAGCTGTCCGAACTTCTTCAGAAAGCTAAACGCTCAGACATAGTACTCGTAGCAGGTGATTTTAATGCTCAGATAGGTAGCTTAAACCAAACAGAAAGGCATTTAGGTGGATATTTTAGCATTCCGACACAGCGAACAGATAATGGTGACCGTCTGCTGCAACTGTGCTCAGACAATCGCTTATTTTTAGCAAACACAAATTTTAAGCATAAGGAGAGACATCGTCTAACGTGGCGACCGCCTGCACCAAACCAACGATGGACTCAAATAGACCATATTGCCATCAGTCATCGTTGGAGAGGGTCGGTCGAAAATTGTCGCTCATTCTGGAGTACCTGCTTGGACTCCGATCATGCCCTAATACGGGCACGCATCTGCTTGCGCCTCACTGGACGCAAAATGCCGCAGTAAAAAGACTCATTAGAACTGAATCGAGTAGCGAGAAAACCAAAAGTAGGTTCTAGGAACAACTGAGGTCACAACTAAGTAGTTCTGAAAACGAGGCTGACCCAGATGTTGCTTAGAAAGCTAAACAAACAGCTGTGGAAACAGCAGTGACATCTATTAGCGACTTAAACCACAGAGTTTCAAAGAACCAGTGGATTTCTTCAAAGTCTATCACACTGATGGATTCTCGCAAACTCGTCCCATCAGGTTTTGAACATGATGAAGAGCGTAAACAAATCAGATCTAGGTTAAGAAAAAGTCTAAGAAACGACCGTGAGCAGTGGTGGGCAACGAAAGCAAAAGAGATGGAAAAGGCGGCGACTATAGGGAACACAAGACAGCTTTACAGACTAATAAAAGAAACTGGAATTAATAAGTCAAGTGTAAGTGAGATTATATCGGGAAAAGACGATACTCTCATCTGCTCCCAGTCCAGGCGTTTAGAACGATGGGCGGAACATTTCAAAGAACAGTTCAGCTGGCCTTCAGCTACTCTACAACTACCCTCCATTCCCAGACAGTGTGAATGGAACATTGAAGTAGGTCCCCCAACTCTTGCTGAAGTTCAAAAGGCTATAGTTAATCTGAAACGAGGAAGGGCAGCTGGTCCAGATGGATTGGCTCCAGAGGTCTTTAAGGATGGTGGTCCAATTTTAGCGATTAGGTTGACTAATATTTTAGCTAAGATCTGGGAGTTAGACGTTATTCCATCTAACTGGTCACAATCACTTATCGTCCCAATATATAAGAAAGGGTCAAAATCATCCTGTGACAACCACAGAGGGATTAGTTTAACTAATATAATATCTAAAATACTAGCCTCGATAATTATCAGACGCCTAACTAAGACTCGTGGACTGCAAGCACGAGAGAACCAAGCTGGCTTTAGACCTGGTCGTGGCTGCATCGACCACATATTCACCATTCGTCAGATTCTAGAACACAGGCATACTTATCGGCGTCCGACAATGGTGGTCTTTCTCGACTTAAAAGCAGCATTTGACTCGGTAGACCGCGAGATTCTGTGGCAGTGTCTGTCATTGAAAGGCGTACCCCAGAAGTACATAAACCTTGTAAAGGCTCTTTACTCGAACACTACTAGTCGAGTCAGGGCTTATGGCGAACTGTCATCTACTTTTGCAACCTCAAGTGGTGTCCGTCAAGGCTGTCCACTTTCCCCATTTTTATTTAACTTCATCATAGATCTACTGATGGAAATAACTTTCTCGTCGACTGAGTTCTCAGGTATTGATCTCCTACCAGGAGGTCCACTTATCGACTTAGAATAAGCAGATGACATAGTCCTGCTTGGTGAAGACGCTGACAAAATGCAGAGTCTTCTGGTAGCACTGAGCAACAATGCCAGGATGTTTGGAATGCGCTTCTCTCCCTCTAAATGCAAGTTGTTGCTTCAGGACTGGTCTGCGTTAACACCTGAACTAAGGATAGGGAGTGAAGTAGTCGAACGCGTTGACAACTTCACTTATCTTGGAAGTCTGATCAGCCCTAATGGGTTGATATCGGACGAAATCTCAGCACGGATTCGAAAAGCTCGATTGGCTTTTGCCAGCTTGCGCCACCTATGGCGAAGGCGAGATATCCGTCTATCAATAAAAGGACGAGTATACTGCGCGGCAGTCCGTTCTGTTTTAATTTACGGCAGCGAAACATGGTCCTACGTTGTAGCTGACTGACTGACTGACTGCCTGATCTTTCCTATTACCACTAATAATGTCATTACCTCTAACCATGGGTTTTCCCTTCGTCCTGCTAACGGGG